TTGGTGATTTGTTCAATATTTTGACGATATTCTTTTTCCCTTGTTAAACGATTTTCTTCTAATTTTGATAAATTTTCATTCATTTCATTATTTTTTAACTGTAATTGTTCTATTTCATTTTTTGTTTGTTTTACAATTTCTGAATATTTGCTTTCGTTTATTTGAAATTTTTTTTCTAATTGATCGTATGTTTGTTGAAAGTGAGCTTCTTGCTAGAAAAAAACAAATACTAACGCATTATATAAGTTGATTCAACTTAGTTCCTATTCTTTGTCCTTCTACATACTTTTTACTCTTGCAGTTTGCATTATAACGATTTGTAACATATTTAATCAATGTACAGAGAGAAATCTAGCATATGGCTTCGGAAGACCATGCTCATCGCTTTAGAATTTCAGTTCTCACCTTCTCCAGAGTTTGAAACTAGTTAATACTGGAAAAAAGCGAATGTCTTTCATTGAAATGGAAACAATTTTTCGACAAAACGACTGAAAATTTAGATTTCATAGTACTATTTCGACTCTCATCTATCACGCTTATTAAAAACCAATGAAGAATGAAGTAGTACTAACACACCATTAACAATGCGCGAATTTGGTGACAATAATCTTTGGCTGTTCCTTGCGACAGAAATGTATCTATGTGCTTCGATCAACACGGCTGCAGTTGAAGGAGACTTTAGTATCATGAACAGAATTCAGAGTGATCTGCAAAATCGTCTTACAGGTAAGTATATTAATCAATTGGACCGTTTACATTGACAGATAACTTGAAAAAAAGAAAAAATTGATTGTTGGAAAGTGAAAAGATCATAAAAATTTAAGTTTAAATAAAAACTTGTTTCATTTTGTATGATGTGCAACAGACAAGTGAATATCTAGCGAGAAAGCGAAAAAAAAATGCTAGAAAATACTACTGTATGAATTGTTTCGTATAAAAACATTATAAGATCCTCTCAAAATAGAGAATCATCCTTTCGAGGAAAAAAAGCTGGATTCCTCAGTGTAACTCATCTTGGATATATCATGATCTTTGTTTCTTGCACATGAACGAAAACTGTACATTACCCGTTTAAATTCATCTGTATCTGTTTGTTTATCTTGCATACCATTTTGTCTCGTTTCATAATCACGTATTTTCCCCACTAACAATTGTTTTTCATGTTGATATATATTTAAATCATTTAATAATTTTTCTTGTTCATGTATCATTTGTTCATATTTTGTTTTATAATTTTCATAATTTATATTTATTGTTTGTAATTGTCTACCTAAATCATCAGCTGATTTTGTTTGCTCAAATAACAATTTATTGACATTTTCTAAATCTGTTATATAAAGTTTTATTTCATCCTTCAACTGATCGCACTCTAACGACTTCTTCTCTGATAAATCTATCAGAAATTGTTGTTGCTTTACATCATCCGTTTTCTTCTTGTCTTTGTCATTCATGTCATTTTTTAAGTTTTCTAGTTCATGTTCAATATGTTCTTTTAGCTGTTTCATTTCTTCATAATTACTTTTTAATGTATTTAATTCGTCTATCAGTTGTTTTAATTCAATTGTATTTAAACGTTCTTGTTCAAGTTCAATAGACAGAACTTTGATTTGTTCATCACGTTCAATCAAATAGCATCGATCTTTAACTATTTGTTCATCTTTTTGGTTCAAATTAAATTTTAATTCATCGTATTCTACCTTTAAAGCTTTTAATTGTTCATTTAATTCCTCGGCAATTAAATATTTTTTTTCTAATTCATTATACGATAATTGAATTTCTTCATATTTTGTTTTATTATTTAATTCTTGTTTTAAAACATTTTCTAATTCAATTGTTTGTGCACGCTGTTTATCTAATTGCTCTTCTAAAAATATTTGATGCGTTTTCAACTGTTCATACGGTTCATTGTCAGATAATTGTTTTTCTAGTAGTTTTATTTCATCTTTTTGTTGTTCATTTTCAATTATTAATTTCTCTATTTCAGACCTTAATGTAACGACTCCATTATCTATCTGTTTGGGTGTTAATACGAGAGTAACAGCGTCTGTCGACAATTCAAAACGAATTTGCGATTTCTATAGTGGAAAAAAAATCAACTTTTAGCATTTAATAACCAACAAAAAATTTCATTCACATACCTCATCTTGAACGTTTGGTCTTGATATTGTGATTTTCCAATTTTCATTTGATGAACGAGTATGATCATCATCGGTTGAAGATATTGTCCAGTCTAGTAGTTGATCAAATATTGCGTCTAACGATTTGTTATGATGACGATTAATAACAATATAATATTGTTCATAATCCGATTCCTTACTAGACGAACAAACAACCAATGATGAAGATGGATCATCTAATAGTGATACAGATGATGATGATTTAAATTGATCATTAACTGAAAGAGATTCTAGAGACGAAGAAAATATATCTGACGAATGATTTCTTCTTAATAGAGCATATTGCAGAACGCGACAACGCTCAATTAATAATGTACATAAACGTAATACGTCTTCATAGTTTGATAAATATAATTCATCGGTAAAATTTGTTATACCAACACTATGTAAAAGTGTTGAAATATCACACGATAACAGTAACGATGCGGACGAAGACAAATTCGAAGAATTTGAAATAGGAGTAGGAGTAATTGTACTGTTATTTTTCTCTAATAATTCAACAAAATTAACAATAAATTGAAGAATATCATGCACAATTTCCTCGTTATCATTGCTGTTGGTTGTTGAATATGAGGTTGCTTGTAATCGTAGATCATCGGAACTTCTTCTGAAAATAAAATAAAATATTTTATTCATAAACAGTCACACAAACACTGTTTTTCGACGCTAACAAACAAAAGAAGATAAGGTAAAACACCTTCTAGTCTCTTCAGATGGTGTTATTATTATTTGTTGTTTTTGTTGAAGTTCTTGTTGAAGTTGTTGTTCTTGTTGTAATGAATTAAGTTGTTCTTCAAAATCTTTAATTTGTCGCCGATAATCTTGTGCACGTTGATCATAATCGCTTTTTGTCATTCGATATTCATCTTTTATTATCATTAATTCTGATTTTAATTCTTCATTAGAAACTTCTAATTCTTCATTGCGTTGTTTCATATCATTAAATTGCTTCTGTAATTCTTGATGTTCGAAATTCACTTGTTCACAGGACTGTTTTAAATTTCTATACAATATATCAGTTTCTTCTATACGTTTTAATTCAGATGTATAAAGGTCATATACATCAGCATTATGTGGTTCACGAATGACTTTTATTTTATTTTCCTCATTATCTCGAAATATATGTAACGAATCAATTGTTAACAAAATATATTTTTGAAATAATTGATCATTTTCATCATTATGTTTTAATTTTTCATTTAATTGTTCAATCGTTTGTTCAAGGTCAGATTTTAGATTATTTAAATTTTCGATATCACGCTGAGAATTAAGTAATTTCATCGTAAGTTCTTCTTCAGCAGTTGAGGATGAACGAATAGATTGAATTTCATTCTGAAGATCCTAGAAACAAAACAAAACAATAAATATCACATTGAATAGACCCACTAAACTATTGGTTGTAAAAACAAAGATGACATATTTCTTGACTTTTATACTTTATGTAACGAGTGCTTCAGAAGAAATTGCACTCTTAGTATTTTCGTCTTTTCTCCCTTTTCTTCTGTCAATTTGAGCTACTTCTTTTTGCAAAAGATGCGCCTTGAAATACTCTACAAAATCATACCTAAACTATAATTTCAGAACTTCAAGCAAGAAAACTAAGCCAATTAGATGAAAGTCGAAAACGCAAAACTTAAAACTTTCCAAACGCAAAATTTTTTTTCTACTTCAACTTTTTCTTCTGCTACTATTTCCGTTAAAAAGTGTAGCAAGAGTGGGAACTCCGTTTGCGTTTGGTACTTTCAAATGTGTTCTTTCTCGTGGTCTGAAAAAAATTTTTTTTAGAGCAGATGGCATGTTGGAGGACGAA